ACACGCCGGGCATGGGTAATCGTCCAGGGGCAGCACAGGTTCAGATATTCGTCATCGATGTTGGCCGTGAGCGTGAATCGAACTCGGATCCGCCGGGCTTCGGAGCGCAGTGCGTCAACCACTGCGCCACCGTTCCCCACACAACAGGGCTTTACACACGCGGATGTATCTGCTGTCTAACACATAACATACAGCAGTGACATTCATACAAATAACATTACACTCGTAGTTGTGAAATCATACACAATCGAATAACATAAATTAGGAATACAGTATTAATGATGTTATTCGAATTCCGTTTTACAATCTGTTACGAGCACCCGCATCGAAGGTGGGAAACCCCCATAGAAGCCACGCCCAACGTGACGTTCGCGCGGTGACGTCACAACCCCACCCCCCACCCGCACATCTCTCGGCACACGTGGGAAGAGAGGTGAAACGGTTTCCACCCAAGAATGAGTCGATGAAATCGAACTAAAAGTCTGGAGAGTAATCGATTAGTTTAGTCGTGGCATATCCCAGCGACCACTGGTTGTATAATTAGTATTGAATAGTGGCCACGTGGTCTGCAGTTACATATTCTTAGGTTTTTTCGGTAAAGTCACGTAGGTAAAAAATTACAATTAATAAAAGTAAAATAAAAAATAAAATAAAAATCACGACGTTTCGGAGGCAACACAAGCCTCCGTCTTCAGGTGGAACCGTCACAGCACGATAGCAGTCACGAAAGCTTCAAACCTGCAGTTATATGATGGTTACTTGTTTCCGTAAACTTCACTCATTGATTCCCCCACTGGAGTTGAGGACTAACAGACACCGCGTCGTCTCATCCATCACCACCACCACTGTGTTCAACCACCACCACCATCACACTGCAGGTCCACAACCAAACTCATTCGCCCATTCACCGACCCAAGCAGACTCAAAGACACAAATCCCCTATTGGCCTTAATAGACATTTGGGGAAAGTGCTGTTAGCGAGCGCCTATGAAGGCCGGTACGGCACACGAGGTGGGTGGCCAGCGCCACACCCGGCCGCCTTTGTCTCGCCAGTGTCTACACATCGCACCATTTACTCATTTGAGACCGAGTCTACCTAGGGGACGCCCAGGGCTAGTTCAAATAACCGTCACTGTTTGGTGGACGTGAGCGGGAATTGAACTCGGCTCGCCGGGTTTGTAGCGCAGCGCGCGAACCACGATGCCCCCCGCGCTCCCCAATCACTCGCCCACTCGCTCTACTCACCCTCTCACTCTCACCACACTGCAACTCACAACGCTTTTATTTCTGCTTCTTTATTCCCTGCGCCGCTCCGCAATTCCGGCCATCGTCTAATTGTTCCCCCCCCCAAGTTCTAAAAATAACCTTCGCTCAATTCAAGTAAACGCGTGGACTCTTATCGACACTGTTACAACTTCCATAGCGCGGTTTGCCGCTGGTCGCTTGACGTGGCGAGCCTGTGCCAAAGCCAGAATCTGTCCGAATGAAACTCACACACGGGCGGGAACACTGGTGGGAGCGGTGGCACAGTGGTTAGCGCACCGCACTACGAACCCCCCCCCCCACCCCCCGCGAGTTCGATTCTCGCTCACGGTCAATGTCGGTGACTAATAGAATAGAGTGGGCTGGTAACGCGGCTCGTAGTCGCCAGGGCAATAGCGAGAGGTACAATACTGGACGTGTTGTGCCGGAAACATTTCACGCGTCGCGGGCCCCGAACCGAGCTGGCTGAAATGAAGAAGCCCCCTGGGTGTGAGAGACTGGAGACAGTGAGACACGATAATTTATTCATAACGGATGAAAGAAATACACGCGGGGTTGTGTGTGTGTGTGTGTACGTGCGTGTGTCTGTTTATTTGTTTATTGATTTGCCCTGTAGTAATGAACGAGCGCTCAGCAATGCAATCTGCGTTCTCTGGGAGCCAGACGGTGGTGGCTCCTGGCTACATTAATTTTGGCCACGGCTGGTGGACCGAGTCTGGACAGTGGTTTCGTGGCCCGCCGAATCCATCCACCGGCTCCACCATGGCCCATCTGTCAACCATCAGTCTCTACTTGGTTTCAATAGTCCACACCATCATACTCTTTCTGGCCCCAAAAGTCCATGTAAAAAAGTGCCCTCTTGACAACACAAGTCCATCGCTTTTGCTTACCTAGAATCCACCATTGTTTCTCCTGATCTTAGAAGCATCACTGCCCCAGACCCCCTCCATTCCAATAATCCACCAGAGCCTCACATGGTCTCGTGAGTGAGCCACCAATCTCTCCTGATCCCATGAGTCCCATCACTGATCCACCCTGATTCTATGCAGTCCACGACCACCCTCTCCTCCTTTCACGATTCCACCACGAGTCATTTCCTGGTTCCAGCAGTCCACCACAAGGGTGGAGGTGAACCACCCCTCCTCCGCCCAGCGGTGGATGGTGGAGGGGCCCCACATGGGTGAGGAGGAAACGAGTCAGATCGTGACAAATCAGACCGCGCTACTCACTCAGCGGGGGAATTTTTTTGAGTCGTTAGATTTCGCGAGAAACCACAGTGGAGATTTCGGAGCGCGCTTCTTACGGGAAAACGTGCGCGAGAATACCCCCGAGTCTCGAGGACGGACAGCACTGTACCATAATCTTCCGTCTTTCTTTCGTACGACTGATGTGGATGCAGAGCAGCAACTACAGTTTCACATGCAGGTGGTCAAGCCCAGACAACCGCGTCAGGGGCAGCGCGGTGTGTCGGCGTGATGTCTCCATCGTATTTGTGGATCGGGCATTGCGTCGTTATATGGAGTACTGCCCGCTCACGCCAACTGCTGACGCTAGGGCCTCCACTAGGGGGAGGTCTAGAGAGGACCTCTACGTGGTGTTTGGCCTGCTCTTCCACGCTGGAAGAGGTGAAAGTAACTACACTTGGCCTCACTATACTCGACACCTACCGATCATGGACTGCCCGTGTCGAACCCATTCACATCGCTGCTGGGTGGGCAGAGGGCGGTGGTAGGTGCGGGTTAAGAAAGTTGCCCCATTGTTGAAGCCAAATCGTTGAGCTATCATCATTTGTGTTAGCCAGGTCGTTTATGAAAAAGAGCGACATAGTTCAGTGGGCCTCACCTGGTCAAATAAAAATAAAATATGTTTAGAGTAACTGCTGCGCCGGTAGATGGCATCGAACCGGCGGCGTCTGGATTGCAAGAACCAGTGGCACTGCTGCTGGCCAGCTGCTTTCGTTTCTCAGTTAAACAACACAAGGTAAACAAGCCGTGTCCATTGCTGGAGAAATTTCCAGTTGTGCGGCAAACAAGGTAACCGGTTTCGACGGGATTTTTTTTGCCATACGGTTACCGGTAATGCAAAACCCGAGTTGTGAACGACCATTGCGACTATTTGGTTCTTTCGGTAAAGTCACGTATAAAGATAAAATAATAAAAATAATAAATTAAATAATGTATTGTTTTATCTTTATACGTGACTTTACCGAAAGAACCAAAGAGTAATTCCTGCAGTCACGAAAGCTCAAAATTAAGACCATTGCGACATCGCAAGATCGCGAGAGATGGTGACGGCGTGGAGAGGTCTTCATCTCGAAGCGGCTGATGATGATGATCATGGAAGCTCTTTGGTAATCCACTGCTGGATGAAGTGGGGGGGGGGGGGCTCGACGCGCCATACGAGTTGTGGCGGGGTTGTTAGACGATACTTCACCACGCTGGGCAGTGGGGGTTTGGCGAAACCGGGGAGCCTTGACGTGAGAGCATAGAAGTACGGTACAATGAAGGATGTTTGTGGACTGCCATATGCCGCTCAATGCCAATACATAGTACTGTATCGGTAATAAGATACGTCTCTTTGACAATCCACTGCTGGATGAAGGCCTCGCCACTTGTCGTTATTTGTTGGGTTAGGTCGCGTAAATATGAATGTGTCGTTAAACCCGCCACCACCCGAAACAGCCAATTAGTAAGATTTGTCACATAAACAAGACATGCAAATTTGTTACGAGCACTGTACAAGCACACCAGTGTGTTGGAGAGTAAACCCACAACATTTACAATTCGAGTACGACGTTTCGCCAGTTATTGCAACTGGAATTGTCAGAGTTGTGGTGAAATCCTCCTGTTTCGGTCTTAAATAGCCGTCTATAATAGGAGTTGTTTGACATGTTACCGGGCAACTGTGAAAAAGAGCTTTACAGCTCATCGGATTCCTCCAGTATGAATACATTTCTGATGCTGACATGTCCACCACTCATAATTCGCCATCATCCACCACGACCACCACCGTCTTGTCGGCTCACCGCGCTGCCTCCAGCACAGGACGCAGGCCACTTACTCAGCAGGGACGCAATTAGAGCAGAGAAAGGACGGCTCGATCGTTATGAATGCGCTTGAGTTTCACTTCATTAGCTTCCAGCGTAAACACCGCATCCTCAGTCCCGATTATACTTACGTAGGCATTTTATGTATCGCCAAGTGTTGTTTGTATGAGGCTGAGGAGCACTTCTTACGCCGCAGCATCGCGAGAGGCGCGGTTGTTCGACGGGGATGCTTTTATCCAGCAGTGGATCGACAGTGGGGGGGGAGGGGTGACGGGGTCAGGAGCGGACAGTGATCGCTGTTCTTAAAGCCGCCGCAACTTGTGACGTTCACGCGACTGGCACAACGAGCAATTGACCAATTAACTAATTAACAACAACAACACGCTGCGCGATGGGCCCGCCACCACTCATTAAACCGGAGTGGCCAGGTGTGGCCACGCCTTCCAGCCTGATCGGGAGGCAGGGAGGCTGGGTGAGTGAGTGGGTGGGGAGCTGTGCGTGCAGTTTGGCCTGTGGTGTGGGTGCGTGCGAGACCCAGTCGGCGGGGGGGGTAGGAGGAGAAGAAGTAGGGGGAGGAGTAGAGGAGAGCGGAAGGGAGGAGGTAGGAGGGGGAAGAGGAGGGAGGAGGGGAAGCAGCGAGTGAATCATCGCGGCGCGCTGTGAGAGCGGAGGGGAGGGAAGAGAGGACGAGACGAGGAGGAGACGGGGGCGAGGCGAGCGTGTTGCGAGGGGGTTGAGAGAGAGCGAGAGAGCGCGAGAGGGAGACGCGGGTTCCTCGCTGTGCCCGGCGCGGTGGTGAGAGCGCGCGCACGTGTCCCGCTGAACGCGCCGTGGGGACTCGAGACGTCTGGGGCAAGAGTGGGGGTGTCGTCCCCCCCGCCCCATCGCAAGCAAAGGGGCTCATCGGACCCCCTCGTCATAACCCCCCCTCCAGACAACACCACGCTGTCTGGAATGTAGGAGCTGCCGACACGAACGCGCGGCGCACGGACATCTCTCTCCTCTGGCTCGCTCGCTCCGCGCCGCCGCCGCCGCGACCGGCGTTTGGCGAGACCCGGGCGCGTCCCACCGAGCGAGTCGAGGAATGTAGCGGGCGAGACGCAGGGACGCGTTCCGCCGGGGCTTTCTCCCCCTCCCCCCCCCTTGCTGCCTCCATCAATCCACGTCCAACAACAACGTCGTCCTCGTCGTCGTCACCCTCCTACCGCCGCTACAACTCCCGCGTTGTCTTCCTAACTCTTTAATGAGAGCGCGGGAGAGCGGCGCGGGAGAGATTCTCCTGCCCCGTGTCTCCTCGTAGCCGCGTCGGGAAACACAACAACAGCAGCAGCAACAACAGCAGCAGCAACAACAACAACAGCAGCAGCAGCAGCAACAACAACAGCAGCAGCAGCCAGCGACCGAACTTGTCCGTCTGCCACCGTCATCGACTCCAAGGTTCGGGGGTTCGCGTCCCGTGCACGGGGCTGTCAGGGTGACCCCGTGGCGTCACCGCCTGTAGCCCTGCACGACCACCTTCAACCACCACCACCACCACAACAACAGCAACAACCTCGAACCAGCAACCGCCCTCTGCTCATCCCTCCACGAACTCCGGCGCGTTTGTTGGGGGGGCGGCGGGGGGGACCGCCATGGGGGACTGCGGGGAGCCGTGGCCCCCGCTCCCCAGCCACCAGCAGCAGCCGCTGAGCCAGCCGCTGAGCCACCGGCGAGCCGCGGTGGTGGAGCGGCTCCGGCAGCGGATCGAGCAGTGCCGCCAGCACCACCTGAGCTGCGAGAGCCGCTACGAGCTGAGCTGGGCGCGACAGCGAGAGCGCGAGCGGCGTCACAGCGACGCGCTGCACGCGAGAGCGCGCCGGGGTTCGGTGCCCCAAGCCAGGGCACCCCTCGGAGGCCCCGCCGGTGGTGCCGGCGTCGGGACCCCGCTGCTAGGAGGAGCAGGGGCAGGGGGCCCCGGGTCGGGCACCGAGTGGAGCGGCGCTTCGGGACCAGCGGGGCCCCCCGCGTCGCTGAGCAGGAACCAGCGGGCGTTGGCGCTCATCGCGGTGAGTGAGTCTCGCGAGTTTCGGGGGTTTGCGTGCGGCTCGAGGTGGTGTCCTAACATTGGCCAGCCGCCGTCTTCTTGGTGTTCGTGCGTTTGGGGTTGTGACGGGAGTGCTGTTGCGCTGCGATGGGTTGGCCGACGTTTCGCGCCGCATCCGTTGGGAACTTGAAGCGAATGCTCGTCTTGTGTGTTCGAGCGCAAGGTTTGAATTGCGCGACGACTTAGGCGGTTTCAGCCGTCTCCACCACTCGCAGCGCTCGCACGTGAGAGGCAAAGGGTTGGTGGGTCACGCAGAGATTCGTGACACTGCTGCTGGCTCGCGAACTTTGTCGGGAAGATGACCAGTAGCGCAAGCGGGTCGGTGAACTCGTTGTAGGTGTTGTTATACCCTCGGATGCGTCACGCGTGGTGGGTTTTCTCCAGGCTTCTATGGATGCCTTTCATTCAAAGCAAAACAAAAGTACTTTTATTTTTCAAACGAATGTCCCAAATGTCCCTAGGTGGCAGGACCCTCCTCTCTAGAAGTGAGCCCATGAGACTCGGCGAGCCGCTCCTGCTGAATAAACACGGTGACACTGCGAGAATAATCATCATCATCATTATTGCTGCTGCTGCTGCTATTGCAAGAGGAATGATTTAATTGGCCGTGGCTGTGAGTCGCACGCGATGCGGGCGGGGGGGGGGATGGGGGGGGGGCTGTAGGGGAGTCGTTTGCTTCGTGGGGGGTCTGGAGGAGTCTGCTGCTGGTGCACTACGCATGCTGCCCCCCCCCCCTCCACGTGTTTGCGAAAGCACGTTCGGCGCTCAGCGTGGCATTTAAAGTGAAGGTGGTGCGTGGGATGAAGGGTCGCGCGTGTGTGTGTTGGCGGTGGCATGGATGGGGAGGGGGTGGAGGAGGGTTGAGCTGAACCCGGGTCTCAGGTGAGGTCGCGGCAGGGGGAGGGTGATCGTCACGCGCGAGTGGCGGGTCACGGAGCACGAGGGGATGATGATGATTGCGAATGTGATGGCGCCGGAGGGTGTGATTATACGAGAGGTGTATTCGTGTACATTGACACAAACACCCGACAACGACAAATCGTCAAATCGTCATTCGCCACGTGACGTCACTACGGCGCTGTAGCCTGAACAGACTGTTGGGGCAAGTGCTGTTAGCGAGCACCGATCAAGGCCGGCAAGGCACACGAGGGGGGTGGGTGGCCAGCACCGCCTTTGTCTCGACTCGCGCGGCGGGCTAACCTCACACCAACACGCACCAATATACTGTACACACACACACAGACATGCACTTGTAACACACACACACACACTCGTGCTGTTAGCGAACACCTATTAAGGCCGGAACGGCCCCTGAGAGGGGGTTGTGGGTGCTTCAAAACCACGCCCGGTCACCGCAGGGGAGGGGGGCAGGTCTCTCCGGTTGATATATTTCTGCCACTGATGTTGGCCGTGAGCGGGAATTGATTTGTTACTCGGGTCGCCGGGTTCGGAGTGCAATGGGGCCAACCACTGCGCCACTGCTCCCCACGTACACACCGGATAACAAAGACAAAGACCCCCCCGTATAGTCTTAACAGAATGTAAGAGGCAAGTGCTGTTAGCGAGCACCTATAAAGGCCGGCACGGCACACGAGGGGGTGGGTGGGCCAACACCATACCCGGCCGTCTTTGTATCCCTAGTGGCGATATTTACACATCGCACCATTGTACAAATTTGAGGCTGAGTCGACCTAGGGGAGGCCCAGGACCAATTAAAATAATCGTCACTGGTGTTTTGGCCGTGAGCAGGAATCGAACCCGGGTCGCCAGGTTCGTAGCGCAGCGCGCTAACCGCTACACTACCGCTCCCCGCTCGATAACAGACACAGTTAAATAGACATGTAATCTCACACGCACACACATTTACAACCAGACCGGGGATTACACACCTCCCGTCTTGTAAAACAAGCGTACTGTGCTGTCTGTGAAACGCGTGCGTGTGTGTGACGCGTGCGTGTGTAATGTGTGTGTGTGTAACGTGATTGTAACGTGTGTGTGTGTGAAACTTGAGTGGATTGTTTGTAATGTGAGTAGCGGTTTGCGCGCTTGGCTACAAAACCACCCAGTTCGATTCCCGTTCACGGCCACCAACACCAAGTGACGAATATCTAAACCGGTCCTGCGCCCTCCCCTAGGTGCCCTCAGTCTCAAATTAGTACAGTACATGGGAAGACAAAGGCGGTCGGGCGAGGTGCTGGCCACCCCCACGCCCTCCGTGTGCCGTGTCGTCCTTTATTGGTGCATTGCTTGTGAACACCATTTGCCCAAAATACTGTGAAGGCGAAACCGTGGGTCTTTGTCTTTTGGAAGTCGTGTGTGTTGTACAAGTCGTGTATGTGTGTGTGTGTGTATGAGACACTGCTACGTACACGTGCATGACTACATACTCACGGCTGTGCCATTATCAACACGGGGGGTTGACTTAGCCCGGGGGTTGACTGCTGCTGGGGTGGGGGGGGATGCGAACCTAAGGGCCCCGAGCTCAGCGGGCAGAAGTTGCCTCCCCCTCCCCCTGGCTCCCTTTGTGAGCGCTCGCCACAGGGGGGGGGGGGGGGCTTTACTCGGCTCGCTCTCCCCCACACCCAGCTCGCCAGAGACGGTGTCTGAACCACGCACATTCACCAAACCAACTCGCACTGACCAGCGTGGTGAAGTATGGTCAACCCCCCCCACCACCACCTCCTCCCAGTGACCGATGCACCTAAACCACTGACACCCCCCTCCCCAAGTAATCAGTAGCTCATTGGAGCAGTGCGTGTGAGCTGAATTGTGAGCTGATGAGTCACTTTTGTGAAGTGGTGGGTCATTTCAACATGAGATGGGTCAGTCTATTTTATACGAGTTTATGGACTAGTGCAGTGTAATTGATTTTATATTTTGGTCGTAAAAAATGTGACTTTCTGTGATGTGAGATGATGGGGCACTAAGATTTTTGGGCCGCTGAAAGATGATGGGCCACTGAGATTACGGGCTATTTGTTGCGAGCTTAGAGGCCACTGATGTGAGGCTGTTAGACCATGTAAGATGATGTGATAATTTGTTTTATCATTTCGAGGTGAGACTATGGGCCACTGCGGTGGCTACAGCATGGCCCCAGTGCGCCCATACACATGGAGAGGTCACTTTGATATGCTGTAAATATTCCCCTCGCTCACCTTCAGTGCGGCAACATTTACATATGGAGACAATTCCTGCCGACTGGAGCAGAAAACACGATGTGATTGTAAAAAAAATCCCATTAGCTCCACGGTGTGGAGGGGATATGTGTGCTGGCTCAGGATGTGCTGAGGTCATTTATAAGCCAAGGTGTGTCATGTCTAGAGAGGACACGAGACGGTCGTCATCATTTTAGACCAGACGTCTCTCTCCCTTCCCAGGGAGACCTGAAAGCATGCAGAAGCTTGTGTGTCGTGGCGTAGCTGTCAGGTGTGCAGGCGGTGTGACTGCACCAAGGCTCATTGGCTACGAAGATAGGCATGGGCAGAATTTGACAGGGAATTGGGCCCCATTTAAATTGTTTGCACCGGGTCCCATGCCAACCGCACGACAGCACTGGGCGCAGGGGTTGGAGTTCAAGTGCAGCGAGAGTCATCGTGCGACCGCTTGTGAGCTACCGCGTGACACCGCCAGTGACCTCCTCCTCCTCGCCCGCCCGCCCGCCCGCCCGCCTCCCTCGCCTCCCTCGCCTCCCTCGCCTCCCTCGCCTCCCACCCCTCTCCCCTCGTTGTCGCCTGCATCCTGTGGCGGTTGCCCGTGGTGCGGTGGAGCGAGTGCCGACTTCCTGGCCGGGGCGAGCGGTGTCAGTTGTCGAGCGGCGCGCTCTGCAGACGGGCGCGCCGCTCTCTAGCGCCGGGTACGTTGAGCCGCCTCTGCCCCCCCCCCCCCGTGTCGCCCCGTCCCGTCTGCGCGCAACGAAGCCGGCGCTTCTTGACCGCCAAATGTTTCGCACGGAAAGTGCGCCGCGGGCGTCGTTGTCGCCGACGTCAACTGCTGCGCCGCCTACGTTTCCCACGGGAGCCGGGGTCTGTGAGCCCCCCTCTGTCTCTCGCTCGCTCTCGCCTACCCGAGGGGTCTCCGACAGGACCTCCAAGACGCCCGTGGACGGGCCAACAACTTTTATAATAGACGCCGCACGAGCGCCACGCAACAATGACGCAAATATCGCTCGAACGTCGACCGAACGTCGACCGAACGTCGACCGAACGTCGACCGAACGTCGACCGAACATCAACGGGGGCAGGGAGCTGCTGAGCCAGCGGTCGGGAACCTATGGCTCGCGAGCCATATATGGCTCTTCTGGTGACGGCATATGGAGTTCAAGTGCAATTTTGAGTTGAAAAAAATAATAATAAAAAAATAAAAATAAAATCACTTTGGAACTGATTTTAAAATACTTGTGATATTGCTTAATAATACTGTGTCATTTTAAAGTAAACAGAAATTAGTTTTGAAGATAAAATTTCTCGGGTCACGGATCCCGTGACCAGAAGTCGCATTAAAAGTAAGACATATTTAATTTATTATACGTTAAAAATACTATATGGCTGTCAATGAAATATATTAATAAATATATTGCGTTTATGGCTCTCCCAGTCAAAAAGGTTCCCGACCCCTGGGCTAAGCGCATCACGAGCATTGGAAACGCACGGAGATGGTTGCCCGGTGGATATCTCTACCCCCCTCCACCTCTGGCTTAGCCAATCGGTGCGACTGCGATGCTCGCAGTCCACGGATCCACGTCGCTTGCGAAGGTTGTTTTGAAAGCGGTAGGTCTCGTGACCACGGGCCGTGCATGAGATGAAGTTCACGGGCCATGTGATTTGAAGTTGGGCCACGTTTCCCGGCCCTTGAGACGTAGCTTCTCCACAGCCGCTCGAGAGGGGAGGGTTGGCTGGCCTTGGCTGGCTGTTCTGGGGCGACGGAGCGTCATTGCAAATGAGCTGTATTGCAGTGCGGTGGAGT